CATATAAAAGTGAAAGTATAGTAAAAGGGGAAAGTCCAGTTACTGAAAATTCATCTTAATGTATTCAGAATAAGAATAAGAATCAAGAGAAGAAAAATAAAACTCAGATAAAGAGGAATAAAAATGACATTTATAATGACATAAAACTGCATGGTAAGTAATCTGAGAGAGAGAGAGAGAGAGAGAGAGAGAGAGAGAGAGATAAAATAACAAGAGATGAAGATGATAAGAGTGATGAGGATGATAATGGTTGAGAGAAAAAAAGTTCTGTTCGGATTCATCTTTTTTCTTCATTGGACTTAATGGCCTTTTACATGGTACAGTATATTTTTGTTTCTCAATTACCTTTTTTTTTTATTCTTTTCCTGGTTTTGTGTTGATAATGTTTCATAGACTTTGCTATTTCTTTAAGCTTAGAATTGGGGGTTGAGATTGCAGGCAAAGTTGAGATTTCGGAGGTTTTTTTCCCTTTTCTAAGATTCTTTTGGTTCATTCAAAGTTTTTCTTACAGTCAATTTAGTTGCTTGAGTTACCTTGGGTCACGCACCAAATTTACTGTTTAGTATTTTCGCATTAGAACAGTTTGATTTTATATTTTCTCCACCACCACCAACACCACAACTTCCCTTGTTTGAGCTTAATTTAGATTGCGAGTAAAGAAAAAATTTCAGCTCACAAAATTGGTTACATGATAAAAGATACGAAAAAGGTAACGGTAAATCTGTGGACTTGGTTTTTTATGAAGGTAAAAGAGTTGAGTGAGATGATGGGAATGAATTTCCTTACAACTTGGTTACATGATAAAGTAATAACATTTCATGGGAACATCATTTTCATGTTGCTTCATTTATTATCTCTCATATTAAACTCATCTTATTTACTCACTTATTTCATGATATTCATTTTTTTTACCTCTAATCATTCACGGAGATTAACTTTTGTTAACTCTTTTTTTCACCTCAATCTAATCAACTAACTTCTCATTAAATCTTAAATAATAGAGATTAGAGTTCAATCTCAAATTCTTGAATTCATTATGATGATAGAAAACTTTTTTATTCTTTATACTTTTTGCTCTCATTAACACATTGAAGTCACAATCTACAGATGAAAATCATATTCTCACGAAAATGAATTTAAATTCTCATTTTTTTCATCTTAAACCTCTGAAAATGCCACATGAAAATGTTTTTCACCTGAACTGAATGTTCATTTCTAGTGTAATATATATGAATTTATATCTGTTAACATAATTCAGTTAAATCAAGCTGAATATTTGAAAAGTTTTACAAAGTTCATGGTTTTGCATTATCATGAGATTTATGAGTTTGAAAATTCACATTTTTCAACATTTTGTCATCAGAAACTCACACTGAATCATGATGATTGATAATGATAAACTTGTTTGCATTAATCAAATAGATTTGTTCATCTCGTCGATGTTTAGATTGGTGATATAGATTTCAGAGTAAATTAAAGTGAAGATAATTCTAAATATATGAATTCTCAGTCTGTCTATTTCATCATGATATGGACAATATGAACATTCCAAATGCTGATGGAATTTCTTTTCAAAATCCTTTTTTCGATATTCAGTTTTCTAGATGAATATATTCAAGAGATTGGGCGTTTGTTAGTATTCATATATTACAATATCATTAGAAACATGGAAAGTTGATAGATTATAATGGAATATGAAATTTTGTCTCTGAAAAATCAGAACTTTTTTCCAGCTTTTTTTGTTTATTTATTAATATATGGAATTTAAATGTCAAATAGATTTAAATTAATTAAATGTTCATTCTTTGCATACACTAAATCTCAGTATCGAATGAAAAATCTCAGGGTTTCAATCATTTTAACAGATAAAATATTCATTGGTGTTTCTCTTGATTGAAAAACTTACTCACCTTTGATTCAGTTTCATTACTATTGTTTAGTGTTGAAATTTAATTTCATTGGAAATTAATCAAAGGTTCATGAAGAGAAAAGCAATTAAAAAGTAAAAGATTTTATCATGAAAAAGAAGATAAAAGAGAAATAAAGGAAAATAGATAGAGTTCTGTAATCTGATAAGATTTTCTTATCATACTCTTTGTCACTGACATTCAACTTGATTTGAACTGGATTCGCTTTGAAATTTATCATCATTTTGACAGAGAATTTGAAAATTTCTCTTCCTATGATAACCTTTATCTAACCAATCAGTAATTCCATGAGATAATCTTAAGAGAATGTCTAAATTTCTGTATTAAAAAATGTTCTAACATTATATCATTGATGAGACAACAAAAACTATTGACAGAGAGAAAGGGGAAAAACTTACAAATCGATTTACTCCTTAAACTTTAAATCAACTTTTTTCTTCATCGATTTTGAACCTTTCAGTGAGACATTTAAGCCCCAACTAAATGACAATTGTGGTTACAAATAATGAGCTGTTATTACATTATGATGGAGATAAAATGACGAGAAAACTGTATCCTTTTCTACCGCCATGATAATGATTCTCACTATTGAATTTAGTCACATCATTACAACTATTAGCAGCCATTAATTAACCAGTTATATTATAATATTTAGTCGAATATCATTTGTATTAATAGGATAAACTTTTATGATGGTACAATTATTATTAAGAAAATGGTTCTAATTGTTACATTTGAATTTCGAGCGAAATCATTTAATTTGATTTGTAAATGATTCGTAAATGGTTCATGTAAATCATATTAAGATATTGAACTTGTTTAGATGAGTTGAGATGCATTTGGTTATCATGAAGAGATATAGTCTCATTAGAGTTGTTGTCATTGAGGTAAAACTTTTTTCAATGATAAGTTTTTTTCATCTCATTATCATCCAAATCATCATTATTATTATCATCATCATGAGTATCATCATATTTTCTTTCATTATCTTCGAAAGAAAGAGAAACTTTCATTTATTATCTCTTAATGAACTTTCAGTGATGATGAAAGAAGAAAAAATTTCTTTTTATTTTCTTCTCAAAGCTGTTAAATCTTCATGAATCTTCATCTCTATGATGATCCTAGTCATCATCACTAAGAACATCTTCTTAATGTCACTTTCTCTTAATTTATCCCTGATTCTTTTAGGAATTTCAACAAATAATATCCACTAATTTATTTCCAACGAAAATTTCAAAATTCTCATAATCATCACCAACGAAGATGATAAGTGATGATCAACATAATCATAAAATGGAAAAAGTGAAAAAATTCCCTCTCCTGACATTCCAAAAAGTTCGAGATATTCATTATTATTAGCATTATTGTATCATCTCTTTTTCGTTTGTGAGTTATACCAACAGTATGACGATGATTATTTATCTGAAGAAAAAGAGACTTGGGATCGATAAATGTTCCGATAGCAATTAACTATGATTGATTATTGAACATTGTCACAAACATTGATTCGATTCCCTTAATTATCATCAACTGAATTGTAAAACAATGGCAAGAGGTAAGGATATCAAAGAAGGAGGCGGAATAATGATAATTAGTGAGAGTGGGGGTTAGAGTAGGGTGATGGTTGATGGAAGAAGAAGAAAATAGAACTTAGGGAAGAACAAACAAGAAAACAATTGTCCATCTAACAGTTGGATGTCCATTATAAATGAGCATCGGTCAAACATGATAAAAAAATCAACATATTCTCAATTGAACCAAAGGATTGAGGAGGGAATTCTTAACCTCAATATTTAATCATATGATTGTTAATCACAATTGTTATTTTTGATACTGAATTAATGTTCAATGTCACACGATTATAACAATCAGCTAATTACTCGCAAGTAAATTCAATTAGCGCCTTTACATTGTTTACCTTTGTGATTAATGATTTTGTATAACAATTTACATTCGTTGAGTTGACAATTAATTAGATTGTATTATCAACATTAGTACAATTTCTTTGTTACTTGATTTTCAATTTCAGTTTGAATCAACCATTTAATCAACGGCCATTAGGCTTCTAATTTAGTTTTTTTACATCATTAGGTTACCAACATCTAAATAAAGATGAGGATGAAGATGAAGGTGACGATGAAAATAAATATATTAGGTCATCCGGTAATGAATTGACCTCACCAATTTCTAATTCAGATAGAGTAAAAAATTTCAACAGAAAAGCAGATGAGCCAATTTCAGAAAGATCTGACTTTTCGATTTTACTTGCGGCCAGTTTTAGGCGAAAACGGCGATTTTATCTTGAGTTTTCACCAATTAAACAATAATTCTCGTTTTTCCTCACGGATTGAATGAAATGTATTATTATATTATATTATATTATTGTTATATTATTATTATTCACAATTAACTATGTAATACTTTTAACTTAAACTTTGATGTTGCTAAAATGGAGAGGGAAGTGGGACTGATGGAAATAATAGAATGTATTACAATGAATACCGAAGGTGATCATGGTACTCTGATCATGGACACCTTCGAATTTCATCGATAATAAACTGACTAACTGCTTCAAATTAATTTCTTATGAAACGAAGTTTCATTAATTTACCTAAACATTTAACTAAATATTACACAAACAGATAACTAATATCAAATATTCACAATTAAATATAATCAAACTTTAATGTTGACTAAGGGAAGAGGGAAGTGGGACTGACGAATTAATACAATGTGTTGAATAAACTTCACTTGGTTCCTTGGATTAACCGTTTTTCTTTAAAAACTACTAACTGAATTAATAATTTATTCCAATATTCACTTTAATTTCAATTTAAACTTGGGTCTGATCTTTACTCTACGAGTAAAATCAACTAACTAATTACATTATAAACGATAATTTTTCTACCTTTATATCGGTAACATGGTTATCGATAAGGTCGAGTGTTTTGTTTTTTATAAAATCAAATTATCTAATCATTATTCTGGTTGATGTTAAGTTTCATCATTACATTTCCGTCAGCTTATTTACGAGCAGACCCTGCGAATGGTAGTGGAGCATTCCAATCACCTTCAGTCGGTGCTATCACTGGAAGGTAATTTGAATCCTTTATTGGATTTCCTTTTTCTCTTTCTTGAACCAACTTGATCAATGGATCTCGATGTTGTTTTAACTTGACTGGTACTTCGTGTAAAGCCTATTGTAGAAGAAGGGGATGGTCCTTGTTGATCTTGAGAAGACCATGATGAAGAACATGGTTTATTCAGAATTTGGATGAATTTATTGTCCTCTTCCCAATGTTTAAAGTTCTTCACGAAGGATGAGACTTCATCAGGAGCTGGAATGTGTTCATTTTCTTTTACGAAGCTCAAATACTTTCGGTATAACTTTATAGTAAAACAGGCATCAAGAGCAGGATTGTGACCATTCATTGGATTATCACTATCTCTTTTTAGTTCTTGTGAAGATGGAAAGTAGAACCGAACCAATTTGTGTAGCGCCGAACCTCCAAACAGGTGTTGGACATTTACCACCTCAATCTTCCATTCCTTTAAATCAGCCGATGTGATTCCAATTTTTTGAAGCTCCTTATCATGAGAGTCAAATATCAAGACTCTTTTATCTGCACACGCAAGTAGGATGTTCTTTTTGATTTCTTCCACTGGATTACCATTTTTGATTTGTTGAGCTTGGACACTGGAGATGGTAAGGTAATTGATGTCGGTATGTTTAACGAAGTCGCTGTAGATGACCGAAGCGCTAGTGAACCAAGCGGCAAGAACTACCAGGTGAGCTTTTCCATCCGAAGAGAGACCTTCGGTGTAGATGGCTAAGGTTCTTTTCATGTTATTTTCTGGACCAATGGGAGTTAATTTATCCAGAACCTTGAAATCTATATTGCCAATGTTTTTCCAGAAGATAGGATGATCGACTCTATCTTTTTGTCGATAATCGTGTCGTTTTGAGTTCGAGATTATAAGGTTAACTCTGGGTTGCTCAGGCTTTTCTTTCTGCAACCAGGGACAGGCAGCAATTAGATGATCACCTTCCAGACAAGCGGCGCAGAAAGTACAATCCTTTTCCGAATGACTGAAGCGGAAGCAAATGCTACAGTGATTTTCTCTTACCCTGCCCTTCACTGGACAATTGTTTAAGAGTTTCATCAACTGTAAATATCCTCTTTTTAAATTATCATCAGTAGCAGCGGAGATGGTAACCTTGGCATATACTCGATGGTCTAATTGGGTGCATTGGAATCTGAACCGTTGGTTATTTCTATCGCTGGGTGAGATTGGAACACCATAAGAGTTGAAAACTTTACTTAGATATCGGGTTAAAATGAGTAAATTTAATATGAATTTAAATGGGAGACTATCACCAGGCATCTAATAGGAGAGGGAGAAATAAAGAATAAAATATAAAATTTTGGTTAGAATAATTGGTTGAGTGGAACATAATCTGTTTCAGAATTTTGTTTTTCTTTCTTGGCTTTTCCTTCATCATTTTTCAGAGTAACAGGTTCAGTTGACATTGAGTAAACAGTTGGATTTTGACTGAGGATCATCTTGATGATCTTGAGAAACAACATGATGAGAATTGAAAAGGCGATTAATCCGAGGAAAAGGTTGAAAAGTTCTCTCTTCAAGGAAATGAACCAAGGTTCGTTACTTTGTTGTTGAACTTTTCTAACTGCTTCTTCTAGCATTTCTAATTTTTCTGGTTACAAATTAATATGTTCATAATCATAAGGAGATAATTGCCAGTTGATTGAGGTTGACCAAGAGGTAACATCCTTTTCATCGATTAGAGTTAATTTTGTGGGGGTGTAGTAAGTGTCACCAATTCGAAAAAACATTGATCTTGAAATTTTTAGAACCTGGTTCGGACATGGTCTTGTTATATTCAATATCGTGAGATTGTGACCGCGACAATAAACATAAAAATCTTCATTTACCACTTTAGTTTGTGGTTTTCTTATTTTATAGTTATTTGGTGAAATTTCCATGCAATCAGAAAGTTTCCATAGTCCCGTCTCAGGGACCTTACGACAGAATTAGCCGGTATTGAAGTTCAGTTTCTTGGACTCGAAGTCTTCTTGATCAACCTCACATATTTCTGGGGGTTGTGATGTTTCATTGGTTAGGATGAACTTTGGACCAACATAATTTTTGACACAGATTTCGGTTCCATTCTTCTCTTCAACCAGTGTGAATGGATCGGCTTTATGGATTAATAGATGGTTTGCATAGATATCCACTCGGAATAGAAGCTCAAGGAGAAAGGTTCTATTAACCTGTTTAAAGCTGACCTGACAATTTTCCATTGTGTTTAACGGACAATTATCTCCACAAGGTAATTCGACTTGGAAAAATTTGATCAAACTCTCTGGTATTTTATTTCCTTTTTCCATTTCTACTCGAGTTTCTCGGTTTCTCAGTTTCACGTGGACTGCATTAGATCCAAAAATGGAACGTGTCATGTGTAGGTCAACATAATTTTCACAGTGTTTCCGTGCTAATTCGAATACATCTTCTTTATTGTAGGGTATACGATCACAATACGGCTTCAATTGCTTTTCACAATGCGATGCCGCTTGTCTGACACGTTCAAGACAAGTGAATTTGTTTACTAGTCCAGGAACATGTCTTATTTCACATGGATAATTTGTGGTTCTTATTTCCACGTGAACTGGTGGTTTTACTTGTAAGCAAGGATTCTGTACAATTATTGTATAATTTATATTATCTTTTGCTTAGTGACTCTCCAAACTACATCGGCACCATACTCAGTACCAGCTACAAGACTTAACAAGAATAAGATCATCATCATAGTAAAATTTCGACCAAGATGAGATGGTGATAGAGAACGTGATCTGGTCGGTTCTCTAGGGTTGAATTTTGACAGTTGAGAGGCATGGGCTTGGAATTCTAGAGTGTTCGAGTCGTTTTTAATCCGATAGGTTGTCTCTCCTATCTTGGTGATGACGGTGAATGGGCCTTCCTTTTTCGTGTCTAATTTATCACTTCGAAGAGTTTTAGTATATAAAACTTGATCACCAACATTAAAGGTAATTAATTTTGATTTTGAATCATGATAAATTGTTTGTTTTTCTTTCGCTTCGAGTGAGAATATTTTCGATTGATCACGAATCTTTTTCCATTCATTTATGATGAATCCAGTGTATTCATCGATGTTCATTTGATCATTTTGTGATGACAATTTGATGTCAATAGGGAAAATTGGTTCTCGTTCATAGATCAGATAAAATGGGGAAGATTTAGTGCTGCTATTGGTTGCGGTGTTGTAAGCAAAGGTGATGAGAGGTAACATTTGTGTCCATTTGGATTTGTTTTCAGAGCAATAATGAATTAACATTTGACAGAGTGCTCGGTTTACTCTTTCAGTTAATCCGTTGGTTTGAGGATGATAATCAGTTGAAAATTGCCATTTTGATGTCATAAATTCACTTAATTTTTGGATGATTGATGACAATATGGAGGAGGGGCAACCATGACGAGAGAGGATATTTTCGACCAAAAATTTTGCAGTTACCGAGGCGGTCTTGTGAGTGAGCGCCTTGGTCTCCACCCACCGAGTAAAATAGTCAATGGCCACAATGATATCCTTTTTGCCAGATGAGAAGGGAAATGAGCCAACAATATCGATGCCAAGCTTCTCAAATGGTCGTCCAACGTGAATGGATTTCATGGGAGCATCATGTTTAGTTTGTTTATTGAATTGGCAATCACGACAATTTTTTATGTAATTTGTAATTACTTGGTGCATTTTCGGCCAATAATAACGTTTCCTGACTCTGTTGTATGTTTGGTAGATTCCACAATGACCACCAGTCGGATCATCATGATAAGATTTCAACAATTCATCAATTAGAGTCTTAGGAACGACTTGAACCCATCGACTTCCATATTCAGTGATAATTTTTCTTTCAAGAACACCATTTCGAAGACGATGATTATTAATTAATTTTGTTTTTGTTGTTTTATCCAATGAATTTAAATTTGATAATTGATTAAGCTTCGATTGAATAAATGGGTCACTCTGTTGCTCATTAATTAATTTACTCATCTCTTTTGAATCATCTTGAACTAAGAGAGTGAATATATCATTACCTTGCTCGAATTGTTCTATTTTATCGTTGAATTAAGGATCATGAGTCGGGTAACGGCTGAGGCAATCGGCATCGGCATGAATTTTTCCCGATTTGTAAATTATTGTAAAATCAAATGATTGTAAGGTGATAGAGTATCTCATTAATCTCGGAGGAAGTTTCGTTTTTGATCTGAGGAAGCACAAGGCACAATGATCGGTTACAATTTCGAATTTTGACCCCTCGAGGCAGTGACGAAATTTCTCAACAGCATAGATGATCGCCAGGCATTCTTTATCTGATATTGGATAATTTACTTCGGCACCTTGTAGCTGTCGACTGGCATAGGCGATTGGTTTCCATTTATTGTCATGTCGTTGAAGGAGAATCGCACCTAGGCCAAAATCAGAGGCATCGGTTCGTAGTTGGATTTGGCGATTTAGGTCAAAATGTTCTAGGACGTTAGTTGAGCAAAGTAACTGTTTAAGCTTTTCGAATGATGAGTGTTCATCCGATCCCCCAACTGAATGGCGCTTCCTTTCGAGTTAATTGAGTTAAAGGTCGGGCGATCTTGGCGAAATCTCTGATGAACTTTCGATAATATGAGCAAAGGGCAACGAAGGCTCTAACATCACGAATCGTTAGAGGAATTGGCTAATCCTTAATTGTTCTGATTTTCTCTGGATCAGGCTCTTGGCCGTCTTCACTGACGATGTAACCAAGGTAAAGGATCTTTTTCTAGAAGAAGGTACATTTTTCAGGTTTTAGGGTGAGGCCAGCGGTTCTCAATCTATTGAAGACTAATCTGAGTCCATTTAAATGTTCATCCATTGTTTTGCTAAAGATGATGATGTCGTCGATGTAAACCAAACATGAATTGTACTTTAGACCAGCGAGGCAAACGTCCATCAATCGTTGGAACGTGGCAGGGCATTACAAAGTCCAAACGGCATCACTTTATATTCATACATTCCAAATGTAGTGACGAAAGCAGTTTTGATTCGATCAGGAGGATTAACTTCCACTTGATGGTAACCACTTCGAAGGTCGAGTAAACTGAAATATCGTGCACCTTGTAAACAGTCCAATGAGGTGTTAATATCTGGTATTGGGTAACGATCCTTTTTCGTTATCGCGTTTAATTTCGGGTAATCGACACAGAGTCTCCAGTCCTTGGTCTTTTTACTTACCAAGACAACAGGTGAGGACCATGGTGAGAATGATTCAACGATGAGGTCGTCTTGTAGCATTTCATCGATTAGTGATTTTGTTATCTCTCTCTTAGTTGATCCTTGGGTGTAAGGTGCACAGGCGATGGGAGGATGATTGTCGGTGTCAATAGAGTGAGTGAATAAATTGGATCGCCCTATTTCTTTTTGGGTCGTTGCAAACACATCTCTGAATTCACTAGCTAATTCATGTAATTTATTTTATCCTCGTCGCTGACTTCACTGTCAATTTCGAGGTTCAATGATTTACTTATATTATCAACATCAACAGTATCAAATTCACTTTCATTCATAGTCTCAGATTCACTTAAATCAGTTGCTTCGGTATCAATTTGTCTTGTTGGTTGACTATTTATATGAACTCTACCGGCTGAGCAGTCAATTATAATGTTAGCTTTTGACATGACATCTTGACCGACCAGGATACTGAATTGTTTTGGTAATCGATCAATTACTTGAACTGTTGTTACAATCAATAGAGCTGAATTGTTGTCGCTAATCTTGGTTGTGATGTCCACTTAACCTAGGATCTGAATTGGCTTATCATTAGCAGCTAAAGGAATCGGACCTTTGTAAGGTTGTAAAGTTAAATTTAATTGATTAACTAAATCTTTAGTAATTAAGGTCATATCTGAGCCTGTGTCAAACATTGCCTCGACTTTCAAATTATCAACTTTAATCTGTTGATGAATAAGTTTTTTCTTGAATATTGAGCAAACGGCTGAAATCGGAGGTCCCTCATCACTACTATAATCATCATCCTCAGCATCGTAATCACCTTTGGTAATTGCTCTGATGTGAGGACCTTGATTACTTTGGGTAACTGACTCTGATTGGTTCTGATTTTCTCTTTGTTTATTTTGATTTCGCTCTCTCCAATTTTGTTCATTGTTTGAGCGATGGTAATTTCTATTGCCTCTTCTCCTTTGATTGTAAAATGGTTGTTGATTTGATTGAGATGGGAAACTCGATTGATTGGTCATTGATTGGTTATTATTAGTTTGAGGTGCAAAAGACTGTTGATTAACTGTCGGCTGAGCTTAATAATTTGGTTGACTAATAGTCGAATGAGCTGTCAAGTTCTGTTGATTTGATTGCGAAGGTTGAGTGAGTTGACTGTTGACTGGCTGAAAGCTATTAGTCTGAAGAGCTGAAATTCTGAACCTACAGTTTACTTCACTATGACCTCGATGACCACAAAAGTTACAGCTGATTCTGTTTGTATTATTGGTTTTTACGGTTAAAGCATTGAGTTTATTCTCTAATTGATCAAACTTTGATTGTAATTGGTCAAATGTAGACAATAGTCGATTGAATTTGATTGATTTGATTCTAGGCTAAGGACAAGGTTAGGTTTTACTTCACCATTTGCCAGAGCTTTATCTGCTAATTTAGTGGCTGTAATTAACTCGTCTAAACTTTTTGGGTTCTGTAATGTAATTACGAATTTGATCTGGGGTAAGAATCTTTCTGAAATGAAGCTAATCATCAAATTTTCTGGCATTTTACTATTCATTCTGAAACAAAGTTCCTGAATTTCATAGATGAAACTTGTTGTTGGTTGACCTGGTCTCTGTTTACTATTATGAAGTTGCTGAGAGAGGTGAGTTCGATAATCAGCTGAACAAAGACCTACAATCATTTTTTCTCTTAATTCTTCGTAAGTTTGAGGTTTTTCACTAGCACCATAAGAGCTGAAGGTGAGATTGTACCAGCGACGAGCTGAACCTTGAAGGTAGAATGGGATAATCTTAAACATTTCTTCAGCGTTTAACCCTAAAGCTCGAGATGCTAATTCAAATTGTAACAACCAGTCAATTACACTTACCAGAACTCTTGTGAGCCGTAACTAACTAGTTAATTGTTAATTCTGAGCGGAAAGAAAATTTGACTCAAAAGTAGGAATAATCTCGAAATTGAAAAATATTGCACTGTTGAAATGCTTATATTATCTAACAGAAGTTAAATTTCATGGGAGGTGAACCAAAGAGTCTTCACTGACTTCGTTTGGATCATTGTTATCACTGGCGAGAGAAAATCAATTTTGTGAATTGGAAAATTTACTCACTTTGACCACCAATGAACAATCGTCCGATCCGTGATGTGACCTCACCTATTGAGATTTGTTTTATTATGTTTATTTTATTACAATTTGGATGATGAGGAATAAAAGGAAATTAATTAGTTTTTAAAGATGATTCCAGACGATTTGATTTTCACCAATTTGTGTTGGTTTAACCAGAATAATTGAGCCAGAATTTACCAGGATTAAATTATTGATGCAAATCAATTATAATTTTGTTTTTCTTCAAGGAACAAGTTGATAATTTCAACTCTTAACTACAAACAAAACCCTCACACAGAGGCCCCCAATTGTTGAATAAACTTCACTTGGTTCCT